CGCGGGGAGATGTCATCAGACAACTACTCACCTTTCGAAGATCACGGGGAAGTTGACACAAGGCGAAGACCACGTGCTGGTCTTCCCCACGCCACGTAAGCCCTAACAGTTACTCGTATTGGGCCTAGCGATCCAACCCAATGCAAAGTAACTGTTGGCCTGCGCTAGGGGCACATTATAAATACCCTCTTTCACTAAAGGGTCAAGTATTCTATTTTTTCTAACCTTTTATGTACTTTCCTTTCTCTTACTTTGACATCGGAGTACCTTACAGGTACACTCCCTCCTCTTCTCTACCACCAGCGAATTAAGGAGCTCACGACGTGTTGTTGGTCGCTGATTCCTTTCTGATCCGGTAAGATCAAATAATAATAATAATAATAATAATAATAATAATAATAATAATAATAATAATAATAATAATAATAATAATAATAATAATAATAATAATAATAATAGTTTAAAAAATAGGAGTAATTCTAATAATAATAATAATAATAATAATAATAATAATAATAATAATAATAATAATAATAATATTAGTTTAAAAAGTAAGGAGTATTTATTTAAAGATGAAATTTGCACTTCTCACTTAAGATTCTGGATACACCAATAGTCATCAACAGTATACATCATTATATCTACCGTGCAAACAACTTAGTCTGAAATTGTTTGAGAATATTTAGAAAATTTTATTGACCGCAAGCACAAGGTTAATGTCTACTTTTGTGTTTATATATGGAATTCGGGTATGTTCCATTTAGCTAATGCTCATTTTATTCCATCTAAAATAGTGGATGTTAAACAAATGGAAAAAAAAATCTAAAGGTTGAAATTAAAAATTAACAATAAATATTTATTTAATTAAAAAAAACAGGTTTTATGTTTCATTCCACTATTTTTTTCGTTGATGTTTCCGTTCTTCTTTTCCTTTGTAAAACCTATCACGCATCTTCATTCTTTTATATATATTCTTTCTTCATCTCATCACTTTTGCAATCAAAACCCATTATTAATTTGCAGTCTCATATTTGCATACTTCTTCAAAGACTCTAGTGTCATTTGCAATCTCTGTAAAAGCTTTTTCCTTCTCCTCTCTTTTTTTTTTGCCATTGCTATAGCCATGTTTTTTTTTGCAATTTCTCCTTTTCGATTTTAGACATTCAACTTATAGTGATAATTAAAATTGAGTATTGTTTGATAGGGCTGTAACGGAAGGTTGAGGGAGATAATTGAAATTGAAACTGAATGTTGTTTATTAGAAGATGGATCTTGAGAATTTTTTCTTTATAGTTATGGGTGACAATTGCTGAAGATGAAATGAAGAGAAAGGAATGAGAGAAGGATGAAGAGTCTAAAAGAAAAAGAAGATATTGTTTTAATTTTATTAATTAAATAAATTTTTAATTTTTAATTTCAGCCCTTAAATTCTTTTTTTGCCACGTGTCTAATATCTATCACCTAAATGGAATAAAAGGAGCATCACCTAAATGGAGCAGACCCGAACCACCTAAATAGAGCGTACCTGAACTCTCATATATGATTCCTCATATAACTAATTATAATAATATTATTTTACGTAACGAAGAATTGCTAATGTGTGGGAAAACAACTTATTTTACGTAACGAAGAATTGCTAATGTGTGGGAAAACAACTTGAATAATATTTCTCCAGTCACTTTTTGTTGTCTACGCCACTTGCTATGCTTCTTTGTCCAACAAAGTAGAAATGGTTTTAATGCACTTATTTACGTTTTTTAGCTTTTTGGTACTCTTTTTAAAAAAATCAACTTTTTTATTTTTTTAATTTGACTTTTTGAGACTTTTTTAGTGATGTAAAAATGATTTATTATTTTATACTAATAATTTAATAAATAATAATTTTAATTAAGTTTATTAATAACTAATTTTAAAAAATATTTTATTTAATGTAAATTTTAAAATAAATTGCATGGGCCTAGGCCCATTAACCAATCCACGAATAGATGCTCTTTAATGTTGAGAATTACTATAGCGTAAAAATACAAAAATGTTTATGAAACTCGGAGATACATCTTGGACGCATTCTGAATCAATAGAAGTTTGATTTAATGTGAAAGAACTATGGAGATGTATCTTCGTAAACATTACGAAGATGCATCTCCAGACTCTGTTTGGATAGGGATAAAAAAATCTCAAATAAAATAAGATTGAAGAACTAAAAGGTTAAAAATATATAATTAAGAGAAAAAGTATTTTTTTTAATGAATGGTTCTTTTTGGGTTTAATACACTTTTTAGTCCTTTATCTATATCTTTGGGTTCATTTTGGTTATCTTTATCTTAAAACGTCCAATTTGGTCTCTTACCTTGTCAAACAGAATTAAACAAGTTATTTATGTCAAATAATGATAAACTGTGTTAGACAAAAGAAGGACGTAGCAACTGAGGTGGATTGTACTCTTCTTTTACTTTTTCAAAAATTACCAACCAACCAATAATAACATGACATGTGACATTATTTATAAAACGTTAAGCGCTGTGTGTGTGTGTTTTTTTCCCACCATTTCCTTCATTTTCTTTCAAGTTCAAACATTTACAAAATCAACACAATACATCCAATCATACACGCACCAGGATCTGCAAAAGAAAAAAAAAGAATAGCAAACGAATCTTCGGCAGTGAACGGAGAACACATATCTGAACTTGAACGGTTGGAGTGCATTTTTCGGCAGTTTGGAAATAGCAACGACGAATGGTTCGTTGTGGTTTCATGTAGGTAGTTTCACATGCTTCTGGATCTTTCGAGTGTTCCGGTGAACTTGAAATTTCTGACATGTATGAACGCAGTTTCCGGCGAGTATGATGTTTTTGGCCAAACACATGCAGTTTTCGGCGATTGTTTGTTGTCTTCCGTTTTGAATTTCTTATTCTTCTCTGCTTTCTATTTCGTTTTCTTCTTAGTTGTTGATGATGAGTATTTGGTTATGAGATGCAGAGAAGGAATACAAAGTGTTCTTGTTTTTAATTTGGGGATTTTGCTTCTTATTTTCAGATGCATATGCTAGGACATGGATCATAATACAGAGAAGGACCAGAATCTCTAAGAGGTACACAATCAACAAGTATGCTAAGGCTTCCTTGCTATTGTTGTTCACCAGGTTAGAGGAACAACATTGATCATCCAAGAGCAAAACCGTTGAAAGATTTCATAATACTCCAAACACATTACAATTACAAGAGGAAACATGGAATTAAGCTTTTTATGTGTAGAAAATGTAGTAAGGCTTTTGCTGTTAGAGGAGATTTGAGAACTCATGAGAAGAATTGTGGGAAGCTTTGGTATTGTCATTATAAATAGTGCCACATGTCATTATAAATAGTGTGACATGTCCAATATATGGTTCGTTGGTAATGTTTGAAAAAGTAAAAGAAGAGGACAATCCACCTTAGCTGTCACGTTCTTTCTAACACTGTTTTTCATTATTTGACAGAAAAAACTTGTTTAATTCTATTTGAAAACGTAAGAGATCAACTTAGACGTTTTAAAAGAAAAATGACCAAAATAGATCTAGAAGTATTGGTAAGAGATTAAAAATAGTATTTTTTTTTAAAAAAAATTAAAGAAAGAAAAAAAAGTATTTAACCTAGTGTAAGAAATTTTACTTTTATAGACCAAATTGACCCTCAGGTTGCTCTAAATTACAACCGATGTATCACATTAATACAACGTTATCACCGTCACGGATGAATTGTCAATTCACTCAACAGAGTGGAAAGCATCTTGATTTACAGGTATTCCTTCCTGTTCCTCAAGCAAGCAAGAAAAGAATATCCTAAATTTACATCACAAAACCCTAATTTCAGATCTAGACTCTCTTTTCATTTCTGCTTGCAGTTCTGTTGCACCCACAACCTCCTCACACCGCTTTGCGTACGTATCTCGATTATATCTTCCTTCTACACTCACGCAACCTCTTCCAGTTACAACATATTTCATTTACCAGAACCATTAATTTCGCTGCAAAATAGGTTTATATTATATAGAATTATCTATTGTTGGATTTCCATAATCTTCCTATTTTCTGTGGTTGTTGCTTAAACAGATCATGTTTAATTGAATCTGTGTTGTTTAGGGTTGTTGCAGTTATTAACGCACTTGTTTACTCTGATTTTTTGTTGTTGCATTTAGTTGAAACTTAAAACGGTTTTAACCGATTTTTGTTTGCTAATTCTGACTCAAGTCTAAGATTAATTAACATGCATCATCGTCAATCGTCATAAAATAGCTCAATTTCATCAGTTTCATTGTTAGCATATGCAGATGACAGTGGATTCAATGTGGTAATTGTAGTTATACCTTTCTTATTTGTGTATGTATAGTAGGAAATAACAGGCTTCAAGGCTTCAAGATGGCGAGAAAGAAAATTGCACAATAATTGAAAAGTTGAATAGTCATTACAGTTTTTTTATTCCAGGCAAAAATTTAGAGGAAAGAGGAGATGATGAACAGCATCTAACTTGGTAAATTCAGAGCCTTTATTTCTTTGATATTTACTTGTATTTGCTAAATCTTTTGCACTTTTAGACCACTGTCCACTGCCATCGTATCAGCTTGGCCAAAGGGTCAAACTAGTGAGTCCCTAAATTAGACAAGCTTTTCATGTAGTAAATAATAGATCATGAATCCATGTTCAACTTGACCTTTCGTGTAACAGAAGTCACACAAGGGCCTCTAAATCTATTTTCTTGACATTGAGGCCTTACACTCACATGAGCTTTTGATTGTTTAGCATATTGGGCTGACCTTGACATGAATCGTTTTTCTTGTCACTTTGGAAGTAGACATCCAAAACGAACACTTTTTTGTCGCCTGGATGTGTATTTCCAGACAAAAACACAATAATTTTCTGTAGTCATGTGTGGTTGTTTCGAAATGTGCTCTTCTTTACCTTTTTGACTGTGTTAGTATCTGTAATCCCATGAGCTTATATTGTTTATTATTACTTGAAAACAGTACATATGATGGCCAGCCAAGAGGATCAAAACAAATCTGAATGGATAGATAGAATAAGATCTGAAGGTGCCATTCCATTTCTTGATCCAAGTAAGTGCTCAAATGGTTGGACTTCGCCACCTGGAGATGCATTCATGGTTAGAGGTCCTGAGTATTTTACTACAAAAGTTAAGATTCCAGCAAGCGGTTATCTGCTCAAACCTCTTGGATTTGATTGGATAACAAGTCCAATGAAAATCGGTGAGATATTAAAGCATCCAAATAGCAGAGTTAGGAAGGTGATTGAGAACGAGTTTCCCGACGGTGATAGGCCTTTCGTGTGGGCATTCAATCTTCAACTTCCAACCAAAGATAACTATAGTGCAGTTGCGTATTTTACAAACAAAGAGCCTATTGTTGAGGGGTCACTAATGGACAGATTCTTGAAAGGTGATGATGCTTTTAGAAACTCAAGACTCAAGTTGATTGCCAATATTGTTAATGGTCCTTGGATTGTGAGAAAAGCAGTTGGGGAGCAAGCAATTTGCATAATTGGGCGTGCACTTTCATGTAAATACAGCGTGACAGAGAATTTCATGGAAGTAGATATTGATATTGGATCTTCTATGGTCGCATCTGCAATAGTTCATTTGGCATTTGGTTATGTGACAACTTTGACGGTTGACCTGGCTTTTCTTATAGAGGGTCAAACTGAATCAGAGCTTCCAGAAAAACTCTTGGGTGCATTCAGATTTTCGAACCTTGATCCTGCTTCTGCTAGACCAATTGAGCCATCATCTGTTTCCAGCACTGCTAGTTTACAAAAATCTTTGCCCACAAGATTGTGGTATTCAATTGGGCACATTCTTCATCCGGGTTCTCAAGAAGACGGTTCTTCGACCTCACAAAAGTCAAATTAAAATTACGGATCAAGAAGTTGTATAGATATTTTTGGGTCCAAACGTACATATGCAGTGTTACCAACTCAAATTTCAAACAAGGGTTATATTTGCATACTTAAGTTTGAATCCATTTCAACTGCGAGTGATATGAAGGTAAAGATTTAGTTTGCAAATGTTCCGGGGTGAAAACCAAACAAGAGCTATACTCATGGCAATTCAAACACTAACGAGAGTTGAAAGAAAATTCGATTTATGGTTCCATTAGTAGCTTGCTTGTATTTTATCATGATATTTAGCTGTAGGCTTGTAAACACAATTACTAGAATCCTGTCTTTCTTACAACCTCATATTGATTACAGCATTTTATCTTTCTTCTCCAGCTTCAAAGTAAATCGCATCAAAAGAACTTGAGCAAATGTGTTAGGCTTCAAGTGTATATTCAGAGTTTTTTCTGACTATTATATGTTTGACATCTTTATAGATTTATAGTTTTTTTTTTTTTTTTTTTACGAGAAAACAATTTCATTACGACGAAACGGGGGGAATACATCAACAAGGGCTCCACTTAGGGAAAGCCACCGATTCAAGTTTTAGAACTATACAACTTGTTCAAACTAGTTAGGTCATGGGCATCCCTGTTAAAAGTTATACTTAAAAACTGAATAGAACCTAATTTAAAATTGTTTAGGAGATCACGATAGTCTGCAGCAATAGGCTTCAAGACCGTATTAACCACGACAAAGTTAATGCTATCAACAACAGTGAGGGAATGGAATCCGACTTAAGAATGATCCTATCCAGCTTCAAGACTTTAGCCAAAGAGAGACTCATCTTATGGCAAGAGTTTCTGCACACTCAGGCATAACTGAAATGAGTTTCTTTCTACTGGCTGCTAGCACAACATTCATCCCATGGTTTTTAATAACACAACCGAAAGCAGCAAGCTCACCCAAGTGGAGCCCAACATCAACCTGCAACACATGCAAATCCCCATGATATGATTCCACCACAGAATGAACAAACTTTTTCTCTTTGGAGGCAATCTCAGGATTCACCTGATTAAATTCTGTGACAAAGTCGAGGGCCTCCACAACAACCCTATTCGGCTCGACTTCCTTTTTCTGAAACAACAAGTTTCGAGCGTTCCAAAGCAACTGAGAGCTCAACAATGTTGAAAATTCACCTCACACCCTATGAAGAATTCCCTTCAATCTTGATCTCAAGATTGATGAACAAACCCACAATATGATAGTAATGGTAATAACAAGTAATTATCAAGAACAACAAAAGAAAAGAAGAACACACAAGAAAGAGAAGAATGAGAGAAGAAAATATTTGGAGAGAATGTATTACCCACAACTGTGGGATTTCTTATTGCTTATAGAACTTTCACTTGCTAAACACTGCAACTGTGAAATCTGTTCTATGTTGTGATTGAATACAAAGCAAGACACCCTATTTATAGTTTTAGGTTTACAAAAGCCCAAAACATAAAAGACCCAAAATATTCAAATCAAATCTAATCATATCAAATCAAAACAATGAAGTACATTTAACACACCACCTAATTCATTGTGTCTAAACTGTCTACATTCATTATGGCTCTTAGTCTTCTAAAGGCTTCGACCTGTACTCCCTTCGTCATGATATCTGTAATCTGATTCTCAGTTCTGCAGTGTTCCAACTTCATCTTCCCTTCTGCTACCTGCTCTCGAAGATAATAGAACCTCATTTCGACGTGCTTGCTTCGACCATGAGCTATTGGATTCTTTGCCAAGTTGATAGCTGACATGTTGTCTATCTTCATGGTAATTGCTCCATGATTCTTCCCTGTGATTTCTTCGACCAAGTTCACCATCCAAGTTGCTTGACATGCATAAAGAGAAGCAACTATATATTCTGCTTCACATGATGACAATGCCACTACTGGTTCCTTTCTCGAATTCCAAGCAACTGGTGCACCACCTAACATAAACACATAACCAGCTGTGGATTTTCGATCCTCAACATCACTACACCAACTAGAGTCTGTGTATCCCACTAACTTGCATTCTTTTCCTTCATCAGCTGCTGGAAACAAAATACCATTGTCGAGAGTTCCTTTCAGATACCTCAGTATCCTCTTCGTCGCTGCTAGGTGTGATACCTTTGGCTTTTGCATGAATCTACTTACCATACCAACACTGTATGCTAAGTCAGGCCTTGTGTGACAAAGGTATCTAAGTGACCCAATAAGTCTTCTGTATTGGGTTGGGTCGATATCATCTTCATCTGAATCCTTCGACAGTTGCAATCTGGGCTCAGCTGGAGTCGAAGTTTGGTTGCAATCTTGCATCTCAAATATCTTGAGTATTTCGCCTGCATATTTTCTTTGGTGCATCATCAAACCTCTACTTGTCTTGTAGAATTCGATGCCAAGGAAATTTGAGAGATTTCCCAAGTCTGACATTTCAAACTCCTCACTCAGGTCATGTTTGAAATCTTCGATCTCCTTCTTGCAACTCCCTGTTATCAACAAATCATCAACATAGAGACATAGTATAAGCGATTCACCATTGTTTCTTCTTACATATACTCCATGCTCAGTTGTACACTTCACAAATTCCTTCTCCCTTAATAAGCTGTCGATTTTCTTATTCCAAGCTCTTGGAGCTTGCTTAAGTCCATACAGGGCTTTATGAAGCCTGTACACCTTTCTTTCTTCGCCTTGTTTCACAAACCTAGCTGGTTGTGCAACATAAACTTCTTCGTCTAAGGGGCCATTAAGGAATGCACACTTCACATCCATCTGACATGTGTGCCAGTTGTTCATATTTGCTAGACCAACAACCAACCTGATTGTTTCGATTCTAGCAACAGGTGTGAATACTTCATCGAAGTCGATTCCTTCCTTCTGAAGAAATCCTTTCGCCACAAGTCTCGCCTTGTGTAGAGTTACTTCTCTTTTAGGATTTACCTTTACCTTGTAAACCCACTTCACATCAATTGTCTTCTTGCCTTGCGGCAATTCGACAAGTGACCAGGTATCATTGACTTCGATGGACTGCAATTCTTCAATCATTGCTTTCATCCACTTCGAATCTTTCAATGCCTCAGCTGCATTGACTGGTTCGACATCTGCGTAGAAAGCATAATGTACCAACTCACCCTCTTCATCGACTACATCATCTGATGTAATTACACATTCTTGCAACCTTGCAGGCATGTGTCTTGTTCATCGAGGTCTGCTTGAACCTGCTTCATCTGCAACTGGTTCCTGTCGAACTTCTATTTTGACCTCAGTGGCTGGTTCTTCACAAGAGATTCTCACTGAATCCTTCTTGGCATTCTCATTCCAATCCCATTCTTTAAGCTCATCTATGATCACGTCCCTGCTGATCACTACCTGCTTATTCATTGGGTCGAACAGCTTGTAACCTCCTGTCGAATGATATCCTATCAAGATCATCTGATTCGACTTATCATCAAGCTTCCTTCTCAACTGATCTGGCACATGTCTATGTGCTATAGATCCAAATACCTTCAAGTGACTGAGATTAGGCTTGACACCAGACCAACATTCTTCTAGTGTGATTCCTTCAAGCTTCTTCGTCGGACATCTGTTCAATATATATGTTGTTGTCGAAACTGCTTCTCCCCATAATTCTTTAGGTAGATGCTTTCCATTCAACATACTTCTCACCATATTCATGATGGCTCTGTTCTTGCGTTCTGCAATCCCATTTTGCTGTGGAGTATAAGGTGACACCACCTCATGCACAATCCCTTCTTTTATACATAGTGTATCGAACTCTTTTGATACATACTCTCCACCACCATCAGTCCTTAGAATTTTCAGCTTTCGACCACTATGTCTTTCGACCATGGACTTGAATATGGAAAATACCTCAATCACATCACTTTTCTTCTTGATGAGGTAAGTCCACAACTTTCTACTGTAATCATCTATAAACGTGACAAAGTATCTATTGCCACCAATCGAATCCACCTGGATTGGACCACATACATCAGAGTATATGACTTCAAGTATTGCCTTCGACTTCCTTCTTGCATCCTTGCTGAAGCTATTCTTGTGTTGTTTCGACTGAACACACTCCTCACAGACTTCCCTTGGAATGTCGATTTCTGGTAATCCTGAAACCATATTTCTTCTCTTCAGTTCTCTGATGTCATTAAAATTGAGATGACCTAGTCGAAAATGCCATAACCACTCATATCTGCTGGCTGCAGTTGCTAGACACTTGTGCTCCATCACATTGAGTCCAATCTTGAAGGTCCTATTCTGAGACATTGGAGCCTTCAAGATTAATCTACCACCTGTGTCGAGAACTCTCATCATCTTGTCTTTGACAACTACTTTGTAGTTCTTTTCGACAAGCTGCCCTATACTGAGCAAATTACTCTTCATGCCTGGTATGTACAACACATTGAAAATTGTTGACCTTTTGCCATCTTTCCTCATAATCAGAACATCACCAACACCTTCGGCTGCTAGAGTGTTGTCATTTGCAAACTTCACTGTGTTCTTCGACGAGGGCTTCATGTTGACAAACCAATCTTTCCTTCCAGTCATGTGTGATGAGCATCCTGAATCCAAGTACCACTGATCTTGAAATCTTTCTTCATCTTTTGTTGTGACCATTAGCAACGTTTCTTCTTCTTCATGTTTCGCCAGCTTTGCATCAGTCTCTTGATTTCTCTTTCTTTCTGAACAATCACTAGCATAATGACCATACTTATAGCAATTGAAACACTGAATGTGGCTTTTGTCTGGCTTTCGACCATCACCTCTTCCTTTACCTGCAACACCACCTCTTTGGTTGCCTTGGTTCCAAGGTTTCTTCTGATTCAATTGGTTTCCTCCTTTGTTGCCATTCCAGCTACCTTTGCCTTTTCTTTCCTTTTCTGTATGCGCCTGCAAAGCCATATCTTTCGACTTTCCTGCATCTCTCTCAGTCATCATCTGTTCATGAGACTCAAGAGTCCCTTGAAGCTCTTCCTTCGTCAACACTGATAGA